AAGTAAAAAGCTGCTAGGAACATGCCAAAGCATCAGGTGCCGATATATTCCTAACCACTTAGAAATGTTGGCCAATCAGAAGTCTAGAAACCTGGGCGGGAAAGAGTAAACAAAGATAGCACATAGAAGCAGAACTGAGTCCTATGTGTGAAGGGACAGAAACTGTGTTGTATATGTAAGCATGTAAACACTGCAGAGAGTAAAGTTAAGTCTAAGTCCGCCATTGTAGAAATCCATTTCACCGAAACAATAATGTGATGCACAGTGTGACGTCAAAAAAGGCGCACACCTTTGACGCTGCGTTTTCTCCGTTTTTCTCGTCCACACGTAAACGAATCCCAAATGAAACATGCTATACAGTTGCACGTGGAGAATGCATTACCTCATAAAAGATTAACTACACATACGTTTAGAAAGGCGACAGTGTGCATTTTTCTTGAATTTTACATCTACCTTCACGTGCGCCACTCAATCATAGCAGAAAACTATCAGCTTAATGACGTGTGATTCACAATCAGCTATGACAGCGGCCATTATGAGGCCCGAAAGGAGCGGCTGAAACTGTACAGCACAAGGGCAAAAGGTTGGGGGAGGCACCCACGACGTGTGCGCGGCATGAAAACAAAGCAGAGCTCTCTCCCATTTGTCCTCCCTTTTCTTTTCCCCCCTGCAAACTCTTAATACACGTGATTCAATAATGGAGATTAATGCACGCTGGCACGGGGACAAGTTTCACAGAAACACGCACACAGGGCATGATGGTGAGAAAAAGGCACACAGAGTTTGAATATAAATCATCAATGTGTGAAGTGATGTCCACTGTGGAACTGATTTAGTGACATGTCACGTGGTTTCACACACAACTACAGGTGAGTAAGGACGCTTCGAGATCCAGCTCTTCTGTCAAAATGCCACGGATGGATGATAGTGGGTTATGGTGGGTTTTTGGTACATGAACACTTACATATTCACACCTTTTGCATTTAGGCAGGTAACTCGGATGAGAGGCCCAATGGCACAGTTACGACTGTGCATCAGGTGAACACATGTCCCCGTTCAGCCCCAGTTGCTCTACTCGGTGGTAGTTACAGCCTGGCCTCATTCACAACTTCCAAACTGCAAACACACCGAAACAGGCTGCCTCAGGGCTGAGGTTACACTGGCCTATTTACGAGAGAGAGACACCGGTGAGGACATGTGAAACCCTGCGGTGAAGGATGTGGACATGTGAACACAGTCACAATCAGGGAGCGTGACCACATACCCGCAGAATCATCTGACTTTTTACTGTTATTGAATTCAATAACACATGTCTGCAACCAGAAAAACTGCATAGGATTTTTTTACTGCTCCTTATAGATTTATAATCACTGAAACCTGGAAAAGTATTTTTTAAATTCCATCAAGTCAGGTTTTCATGCTTTTAGTTTACTTAAGCGTATAATTTCCCTTTTTAATCTGGTATCCTATACTAGAGTCAAAAAACCATATGTAGTAATGATTTCTTATATTAATGTAATATTTCTAAGAGTGAGAATCAAGAGAAATAAAGCAAAAGCGTGTTCGGAGGAACATCAAAGAGAAGAAGAAAAGGTTTCACAGACAAAAAGTGTTAAATATATTGTGACGGAATAGTTTTTTGTTTCTTTCTTTAATTATAAGAAAAATGATACATAGTTAATTGTAACAAAATATAGATTTTTTTCATGGCTGTTGTCCCTTTTTTTAAAAAAACTGTACATGATGGAGGGAAATTGAATTCAGCACCCTAAAAAACATGAAATTTAACAAAAATATCCCATGCAGCTGAAAAAAAAATTATTTTTTCCAGACCTGTGTAATCGATCGCACTCGCAAGGAGTGGGAAATTTCAACCTTCATTTTACTACCCATCCTCATTTAGATTTGACGGGGTGAATGAGAATTGTGAACAGCTGCGGTTTGAGGAAGGCCTTCAAGATCTCCACGTTTATAAAATAATACTAATGTAACCTCAAAAAAACACTCTTTTAGCCATCACTACACATGATACAGTAATTCAACAACTTTTTGCATTATAATATTATGATCATGTCCCACAACAGTATATAGTATATGTGTTACTTCGGTAGCACATATACTAAAATTGGAACAATACAGAGAAGATTAGCATGGCGCCTACGCAAGGATGACACGCAAATTCATGAAGCGTTCCTCATTTTTAGAGATGAGATTGGGCCTTAGCACGCCCAATCTCATCTGGGTAGCACGGTTGTGCGGTGCTTAGCACTGTTGCCTCACAGCAAGAAGGTTCTGAGTTCAATTCCACCATCAGCCTGTGTGGAGTGTGTATGTTCTCCCTGTGTTTGTCCGGATCCTCCCAAGGACATGCACTTATTAGGATTAGGTTAATTAGAAACTAACTAAGTGTGAATGGTTGTCTGTGTATATGTGCTCGCCCTGCAACAGAGTGACGAGTTGTCTAGGGCAGCGGTCCCGGGCCTCGGACCGGTACCGGGCCGTGAGAGTTGAGGCTCAGGTGTGAAATGT